GGGCCTTTTGGGGCCTTCTTGGGGCCGTCCTGGCGCCGTCTTGGGCCGTCTTGGCGCCTCTTGGGCCGTCTTGGCGCCCTCTTGGGCCGGTTTGGGGCCTTCTTGGGGGCCTCTTGGGCCTTCTTGGGGCGCTCTTGGGGGCCTCTTGGACAGTCTTGGACGCCTCTTGGCCCGTCTTGGCGCCCTCTTGGGCTATTTTGGGGGCCTCTTGGGAACATATTGGGCCGTCTTGGGGCGGTCTTGGGGGCCTCTTGAACCGTCTTCAACGCCATGTGCTAAAGATGCACGCTTTCCTTAAGAAAATCAATGATTTTGGCCTCTTGGGGCCCTCTTGGGACGCCTCGTGGGCGCCTCCTGGGGCGTCGTGGAGGCCTCTTGGGACGTCTTGGGGCCGCCTTGGGCGGTCTTGGGCTCTCTTGGAGCGCTCTTGGGCCGTCTTGGGCCGTCTTGGGCCGTCTTGGGCGCCGTCTTGGCCGCTTCTTGGGCTGTCTTAGGCGCCTAAGACGGCCCAAGAAGCGCCCAAGAAGCGTTTTCCGATGATGTCTCGAGCGAAACGCTGTTTTCAAGCCCCGAAGGCCGTCCTACTCGATAAAAAACGAGGCGGGAGGGCAATTAGATCCGGGCCTGGCGATGCCACCCCCCTCGAACTCCCCCAAATCCAATTTCTTCCGACTAACGGACCGCACGCTAACGCGCGCTTTCCGTCACCTGGCCCGGCACAGAAACGGAAAGAGCGCTGCAGCAACAGAAACCGAAATTACTCACACCACCGTTCGTACCCGGAGCCTTGGCGTTGAGAGCTTGTTACGTCACCCCTCGCTCTTGGGAGCCTTGGTGTTCAGAGATTCTTGCGTTGCCGCCCGTTCCTGAGCCTTGGCTGGGCCTTGGTGTCAAGAACTTGTTACGTCACCACTCTCTGCTGGGAGCCTTGGTCTTATCAGCTTGTGTACGTCACCGTTCGCTCTTGGGAGCCTTGGTGTGAAGAGCGTTTTGCGTTACCGATCGCTCTTGGCGTCTCTGCGCCTTCGTGGGAGTCCTATTGGGGCCCTTTTCGGGCCCTCCTGGGGGCCTCTCGGGGGCCTCCTGGGGGCCTCTTGGGGCTTCTTGGGGGTCTGTGGGGGCCTCCTGGGAGCGTCTCGGGGCGAAAGGCTAGACTTTCGGGTTCGTGGTCCCCCCCCTCTTGGGGCCGTCTTGGGGCCCTCTTGGGCCGTCTTGGGCGCCTCTTGGGCCGTCTTGGCGCCCTCTTGGGCCGTTCTGGGGGCCTCTTGGGAGCCTCTTGGGCCGTCTTGGGGCGGTCTTGGGGGCCTCCTGGGCCGTCGTCAACGCCGTGAAAGGCGAAAAGCCGTATATACTAAAAATGCACGTTTTCGATGATTTTGGCTTCTTGGGGCCCTCTTGGGACGCCCCTTGGGAGCCTCTTGGGGGCCTCTTGGGGGCCTCTTGGGACGTCTTGGGCCTGTCTTGGGCGGTCTTGGGCTCTTCTGGGACGGAAAATAAGTGACATCCGAAAAACATGCAAAAACCGTAGGGAAAACTCCCTAAACGGCCATTAGCGCCAATGTCCCCCGGCCTCGCCCCTCTCCTGGACCCCTCCCTATCAGGGCTTCGCCCCCTGCTCAACGTCATCGCTCGTACCTCGCTCGTTCCGTTACCTGGGCCCGGCACGGAAACGGAAAGAGCGCTTCAAGAACCTGACCGAAATTACTCACACCACCGTTCGTACTGGGAGCCTTGGCGTTGAGAGCTTGTTACGTCACCCCTCGCTCCTGGGAGCCTTGGTGTTCAGAGATTCTTGCGTTGCCGCCCGTTCCTGAACCTTGGCTGGGCCTTGGTGTCAGGAACTTGTTACGTCATCGCTCCCTGCTGGGAGCCTTGGTCTTATCAGCTTGATTACGTCACCGTTCGCTCTTGGGAGCCTTGGAGTGAAGAGCCTTTTGCGGTACCGATCGCTCTTTATTTGGCTTCTCCGAGCCTTCTTGGGAGTCCTATTGCGGACCTTTCTGAGCCCCTTTGGGGGCCTCTTGGGGGCCTCTTGGGGCTTCTTGGGGGTCTGTGGGGGCCTCCCAGACTTCTTGGGGCGAAAGGCTAGACTTTCAGGTTCGTGGTCCCTCTTCTGAGGCCGTCTTGGGGCCCTCTTGGGCCGTCTTGGGCACCTCTTGGGCCGTCTTGGCGCCCTCTTGGGCCGTTTTGGGGGCCTCTTGGGAGCCTCTGGGGCAGTCTTGGGACGATCTGTGGGGCCTCTTGGGCCATCTGAGTCCCTTCTGGGACGGAAAAAGGGAGAACCCGAAAAACCTGCAAAAATCATAAGGAGATGAAGATTTTTCGCCTCCTGAGGCCCTCTCGGGGGCCCTCTGGAGGGCCTCTGGGGCCGTCTCGAGACTCTCTTGGACCGTCCAGCGGCCATCTGAAGCTCTCCTGGAGCCGTCTTGGGGCACTCTTGGGGCGTCTTGGGGCCCTTGGGCCACTTCACCTGAAAAAATACAAAAAACGGGCCATGGGAGCCGCCCGGGAGCCGCTTCACTCGAAAAAATACAAAGGAAACGGGCCATTAGACCAATGCGCCCGCGCCTCGCCCCCCCCCCTGCACCCCCCCTAAGAAGGGCTTCGCCCCAACTCAACGTCACTCGCTCGTGCCTCGCTCTTTCCGTCACCTGGGCCCGGCACAGAAACGGAAAGAGCGCTGCAGCAACAGAAACCGAAATTACTCACACCACCGTTCGTACTGGGAGCCTTGGCGTTGAGAGCTTGTTACGTCACCCCTCGCTCTTGGGAGCCTTGGGGTTCAGAGATTGATGCGTTGCCGCCCGTTCCTGAGCCTTGGCTGGGCCTTGATGTCAGGAACTTGTTACGTCATCGCTCTCTGCTGGGAGCCTTGGTCTTATCAGCTTGTTTACGTCACCGTTCGCTCTTGGGAGCCTTGGTGTGAAGAGCTTTTTGTATTACCGATCGCTCTTGGCGTCTCTGGGCCGTCGTGGGAGTCTTATTGGGGCCCTTTTCGGGCCCTTTTTGAGCCCCTTTGGGGGCCTCTTGGGGGCCTCTTGGGGTTTTTTGGGGGTCTGTGGGGGCCTCCCGGGAGCGTCTTTGGGCGAAAGGCTAGACTTTCGGGTTCGTGGTCCCCCTCTCGGGGCCGTCTGAGGGCTTTCTTGGGCCGTCTTGGGCGCCTCTTGGGCCGTCTGGGGGCCCTCTTGGGCCGTTTCGGGGGCCTCTCGGAGCCTCTTGGGCCGTCTTGGGGCGGTCTTGGGGGCCTCTTGGGCCGTCGTCAACGCCGTGAAAGGCGAAAAGCCGTGCATGCTTAAAATGCACGTCTTCCCATAAGAAAATTAATGATTTTAGCCTCCTGGTGGCCTCGTGGGACGCCTCTTGGGGGCCTCTTGGGGCTTTTTTGGGGCCTTTGGGGGCCTCCCGGGAACGTCTTGGGGCGATAAGCTAAACTTTTCGGTTCGTGGTCCCCCTCTCGGGGCCGTATTGGGGCCCTCTTGGGCCGTTTTGGGCGCCTCTTGGGCCGTCTGGGGGCCCTCTTGAGCCGTTTCGGGTGCCTCTTGGGAACCTCTTGGGCCGTCTTGGGGCCGCCTTGGGGGCCTCTTGTGCCGTCGTCAACGCCGTGAAAGGAGAAAGCCGTGTATGCTAAAAATGCACGTCTTCCCATAAGAAAATCGAGAGCAACGGTCCCTCTTTTTGCGGAGACGGATTCTAGCGAAACTCTGGACTCGTCGTGGCCAGAGGCTTCGGGAGTCTAAAGGCATGCCTGAAAATTCCCTCTCCCCCAGGGGGTGGGGGGGTGGGAGACCGACAAACAACTTGAGAATGAACGGCAGCAGGGAAGAGAAGCGACTGGACGGTTCCTGCTGTCTCAGTGTGGACAAAGGAAGCCGAGAACATCACCAAGACGGCCCCTCTGCTCAACCCGCTCTAAAACCTCCAGAGCAACGGTTGCGGAGACTGATTCTAGCGAAACTCTAGACTCGTCGTGGCCAGAGGCTTCGGGAGTCTAAAGGCATGCCATAAAACTCCCTTCCCCAAATCATCCCGAAAGAATCCAATTAGGATGTTCACTTGGGCGGGAAGAAAAAAGAGTGGGTGAAGCCAGCTCTAGTTTCAACGATGCTGGCCAGCAAAGTCGAGACCATGGCCTTCGCCATATCTCTGGGACATTCAGAAGCGATGCGTGTGCGACGAAGGCCACGAAGCCCCCCGCCGCTCAACTGCCAGTGGGGGCGTAGGGTCTTCGAGCATATACAGCCCTGTGGTCTACATCGCTGGGTGAGCTTAGTCACATCTTCAAGGTTCACATTGCCACACCAAATCCGAATAGCCTTCTTCCATCTAGCGCCGTACTGGCACTGGTCGAGCTCGACCAAAAAGACATTCTTACAATGGGAGAGCTCGCACATTTCTGTAGTGAGCCAGGGTCGGCTGGTCAGCGGATGTTCGAGCATGACAGGAATACCTCGCCGTAGAAAAAATCAGAACAGGGACAGAGCGACACGAGCAAGACGATTGCCGAAGTGCACAGCTGCCGCATCGGCAGCAGTCAAGAAAGAATCGTTGAAGCCCCAGGGCTCATCGCGACTTCGCACAGGCCGAGATCTGTCATGCGCAAGTGAAAAGGTCTGGCACGGCGGGGCCAGCACTGCAGCCACCAGCCGCCCAACTCGGGCGTCGGATTTGATGGCTTGCAAGACTTTTGGCGACAGCAAGTCCTGCCACTCTGCATCATAGATGACGCCCCAGCTTCGCGAGCGGAACCCTAAACTGTCGGCCGCGCGCGAGATTGCCCTGCAGCCTGCAGAAAGATCGGCCAGGTACTGTCCTTCCCCTAGGCGAGAACGATAGAGCCGACCCCTTGATCGTGCTCCTCTGTAGCCGAAGTGCAACTGGGCTAGTACTGCTTTAGACGCACGCTGAAGGGCTGTCCCGTCAAGATCCGGGTCGATTGCCTCTTCGCCTGCTCGCACACTGCACGCGGGGTTGGGGCCAACTTCGCGCAGCTGCTTCCTAGCCTGCTGCTGTGCTCGTAGCGGTGCCTGGACTTGAACACTGCATCCCAGCCCTGGAGGCACGGAGAGTCTAACGGGCATGCCTGGTCGAAGTGGCCCCTCTTGCTGGGCTCCCTCCGCTTTCGAGAATGAGTCAGCAAGGCCCAGTGGCGGCTGGCACCCGTCGTCGGGGGGGCGAGATCGCACCTCTGGGCGGCCAGCAAGGTCGAGGGCCGCGAACAGGTCGAGACGCCCGCCGCGAGGAAGAGCGCAAGCCGAAGATGCCCTCGACGCACCGGCTTCCAAGCCAGGCCGCACCAGACCGGGAGGGCCAAGGCCTTCCGCCGCCGCCCAGGGGTCAGCCTGCGCAACGCACAGGGTAGCAGGCGACCCCCGATTCGCCCGAAGTCGGGGTTCGCGCTGACCCAGGCCGCCATGGTCTGATCCCCGTAGCTGCTCTGCTCGCCTAGCAAGCAATTCTCGGTCAAGTCGTTGCTAGACATCTCGTCGATCTCGGCGTCGGCCCTCGCGAGGATGTCCTCCTGCTTCAGGCCGACGCGCGAGCAGGAGAGATCAGGTAGCGCTGGTACCTCACCTGCGTCGGCCGCGTCACGGCCAAGGTCTCCAAGAGGGCTCACTCCCGCGTCCTGAGCAGCGAGGATCGCGTCGGCGTTCAGCTTCGCTCGCCTCTGCGCCCCCCGAGCGCGCAGCTGCTGCATCCGCACGCGGCTGCGCCTCGGGCGCTCGATCCCCGAGTCGGAGCCGCTGGAGCTGCTGTCGCCCTCGGCGGCCTCCCCTCCGTCTCCAGCGGGGTCCTGTCCATTGGCGCCCCTGTCGTCCAGCGCCGCGAAGTGCCGCTCCTTCCGCGCAGCCTTCGCCGGCGCAGCGGAGGGGGCCGGCACCAGCGCACGCCGGCGCCCTACCGCAGGCGGGGCGGCCGGCGTCTGGGCGCCCCTCGGGCCACCCCGCGCACGGCTCGCCACGCGCCTGGCCGTCCGCGCCCGCGCGCCCATCGCTGTCCGAGGGAACCTGCCGCCTGGAAGGCAGCGGCAGCTCCCGAACCACAAGCGCGCTGAGCCCCCGCAGCCGCCTCGGGCCCATGCTCAGAGAGCCCTCTACATTGATCGGAAGCTCGGCGATGGTGGCCAGAACCGAAGGTTTAGAGCCAAAACGCCTACTGACAGGACCAACGGACACGTCTGGTTTGGGGACGGCTCTTGGAGGACGGGTTTGCAGATTCAAACTGGCCTCAAACTTATCATCGAGGAGAGATGTCACTATACTACTGTCGCTCTCTGAAAAAACCCTGCTGCCTTCGTCACTCCCATTGAACTCCGACGAGATCCATCGAAAGGCGGGTGAAAGACCCAACGATATGGCATAGGCATAGAACCGACGAATCTGAACCCAAAGACTGAAGCACGAGGATCGGGCCCTCGAAAAAGAAAGCACCACAGACATGTAATCTGAAAGGAAAAGCTGACGCACACTGACTCCGTGAGAGGTCTTGGCCAACCTCTGGACTGCTTTAACAAGGGCCCTGGCTTCCAGGATGAAAATGCCTTCGGGGAAACGCCAGGCCCCTGAGCGGACCGTCTCCCAGGCCCCCTTTCGGAGCCACTCCCAAGGGACTTCGGCAAAATCTGGATCAACATCCCAGGCGGACAAAGCATCGGGCTCCGAGGAATCCTCATGCATTACACTCTCGACGCTGCGGATCATCCCCGAGCTATCCTGGACCAGGCTGGCGGCAGCGAGCGCGCTCTCTCGCGCAGGCCTTCCCTGCGCGGAGCGGAAGCGGGCCCGCTCGGGCAGCCTCCCGACATCCTCCACCACGCGGAGTGGCCAGAACAACTGCGCCATGCCCCAGCCGCTCTCGCTGGCGTCGGTCTGGAGCACGCAGCTGTTCCACGGGCGCCACCAGTCCTGCACCATCAGCACGAGCAGGCCGCGGAACAGCCTCACCTCCTTCATGACTTCGAGCCACAGGCGAGCGGGCTCGAGGTAGTGCCTCTGGATGAAGCGGTAGGAGGCGCGCCAGCAGCTCAACGAGCCCCGCAGAGCCAGCCCACAGAAGGCGCAGTGACCGAGCACCATCTCCAGGGCTCGCCCCGTCGCGCGGCCGCGCGCCAGCAGGCCCCCCAGCCCCATGCACACCTTCCAGACGCGGCCGTCGCTCACGCCCGACCTCATCAGCTCGAGGTCCAGCTTGGCCCCCAGAGCCTCGCACGCGGACGAGGTCACGGAGCTCTCGTGCAGGTCGAGGTCGACCCCTCAAAGAGCCCCGTCCACTTATCGAGAACCTCCTGCGCGATGGTCTCCGACGGGGCGATGACGCCTAGGTTGTCGACGTACACGTAGGCCCCTCCCACACGGCCAGGCTCGACGTCTATGACCAGCGGGGGCCCTCGGTCGCTCATGAGCAGCCTCTCGGAGATCGTCATATCTCCTCCCGGCCAAGGGTTCGAGCTAACCACTCTCTCCTCGTTGGCACCCTGCGCCAAGAAGAGCGACCACGAGAAGCCCATGGGAAGCGCGCCGATGCACGGGGAGACCAGGGTGTCCGGCCCCAGTCGAGCCCCCTCGAGCTCCTGGCCCGCGAGCCCTAGGACGTGGGCGGGCGCGGCTGGCAGCGACAAGAACTTCGCCAGGCTCAGGGGGATCCGCATGCGGTAGAAGCAGCCCTTAACGTCCGTTATCCCCAGAAAGAGCCTGAACTTGCCCAGCAACTCCTCTGCGCGGGCGGAGCCGATGGCCACCCCCTCGGGGAGCCTCACCTCCACGCGCCCGAAGCCTTCGCAGGAGAGGAGCTGCACGCTGGGCGGCACGTTGAACCAGGCGCTGGCACGGCGGGCGTCCACTATCATGCGCATCTTGTGCCCGTCAGATTTTTCACGAAAAAGAGGCCAGCCTGCTCCGAAGGCGTCAAAGTTGCCAGCAAGAGACCTCGTGACGTGATCCTTCAAAAAACTGTGGCACTTCTTCTTGCTCCGCTTCAGCAGCGGGTCAAAATACGAAGTCGGCAAGTTGTGAAAATCGATGTCATGGATCGGCCGCCTCATACGCTTGTGATTCTCCCCCAATTAAGTGCGACCAGCCTCGCCCACTATGTCTTCCACCCGGCGGCAGCCGACGATCGACGGGGGCAAGGACACGCGGTCACGGACGAAGGAGGCCAGGTACCTCGGGGAGCCCGATGCGTCGTAGATCGAGCACCCCTTGAGCAACGCACTGAGCGCCGCCTCGCGGGATGGACAAGGGCTGGGAGCTGCGGCCCGACGCCGAAGAGCTTCGCTTGCCACCCACTGCACAATCCAAGCGCGCTTGCCCCGGATGGAGTCCAAGGGGCGCGGCGAGCCAGCATCGGCCGGTTCCCAGCCAGCAAGCCAGTTGAGAGAGTCGATCGCGCCACTCGCCAGTTCGTGCTCACGTCTCCGCCTGGCACCAGCCATCCGGGCGCGGCTGCCGCCCCCGCTGGTAGGCGGCGCGGCCAGGCGAGGAAGAGGGAAGAGGTCCCTGTCCCCGCTCGCCACAGCCAAAGGCGCTCGCCGGGCCGAGGAGGAAGTCCAGCCAGCGGGGGCCCACTCCGCCGACTGTGTCGAGTCCGTCATGATTGCACGAGCGGCGCGAGGGCTCGCGATCGGTTCTTGTTACCCCGACCGCCCCCGCTGCCGCCCCGGCCACCGCCTTTGCCACCATTATCAGCCGTCTCGCGCGGTGGAGCTCGAGATGATGAGGCGCTCGCTGCGACCGCCTCGGCCTTCCTGTCACCCTGCAGCAGCTCGTACTCCTCCTTGGCCCGCCTCGACACATGCGAGCGCAGGCCAGGCGCCACGAGCTGGTCTACCTCCGTCAGAGGCGAGAGGTACTTCGCATTGGAGTAGGACGCCGCGCCGCTGGTCCCGTGAGCATCGACCAGCAGATTCAACCGAAGAGCCGCGACCTCCAGGCAAGCCCATCCACCTCGGTTGAGCTGGTCGAACTCTCCAGCCTCCTCCAAGATGTCGCAGAGCACCCTGAGCTCGCGGGCCACCCTGTCCGTGGACGCCACCCCCTTCCCCCTCAAGAATCGTTCCAGCCAGGCCCGAGGTGAGCCATTCAGGCTCATCATCATCATCTTGCACGTGTGGAGGCACGTCCGATCAGAGGGCAGGCGATGGCGATCCCACTCCACGTTCGAGCTCTCGGCAACGGCGCGGCGGAAGTCCTTCCTGCGCTCGCCCTGCTCGCCCCAGTCGACCCAGAGCGTTCTGACGTCGTTGTTGGGCCCCTCGGGCGCGGTCTCCCTCCGAGCATCAGGCTCATCGGCGAGGCCGACCTCGGCCGCTAGGTGGTCGGGACCAGGGTGGTCCACTGGCGCCCGGGGCGGAGGGGCCTCGGCGCCGCCGACCGCGGATCCCGCGGGCGCCGGCAAGGGGGCGGCTCCAAGCAGCCCTCGCAGCTCCTCCAGACGACCAGCAGCCCATTCGACGATGGCGTCCGCGTCCACCTGCTCCAGCCGAGCCCAGCGGCCACCTCCAGAGAGGCGGGCCAACGCCTGGCTGCCGGCGCGCGCCACGCCTTCGGGCAAGGGGTCCACCACCGTGCCGACGGGCATCCCTGGCACCGGTTCCGCCAGCACCCACGGCCGCTCACCCATCAAAAAAGGGAAATACTCTCGGCCCGGCCGCTCAACACCATCGGGAAGCATCACGTGCTCCGCGCCCTCGGACTCTCGCTGGCCTCGACCAAGCATGGTCTCGCGGCACTCCGCCGCGCGCTCCAAGATCTCGCCCAGGCTCGGGAGCGAGAGGAACCTGCACAGGCGACGACCGTCTGGGGGGTCCCCTGTCACCTGGCCCAGGATGGATCCTCCAGAAGGTCCCGTCGCGGGACTCTTCCCGCCCAGGTCCTCCTCCCACACGTCGCCGTCGGCGGACAGCACCCAGCACGTCGACTTCCCCCGCTGCCGCCCTCGCGCGTCTCGACGACGGCTCGGCCAGAGCACGATCCTGGCGTGGTCCATGGCCCCCCCCTCATACGAGACGCGGATCAGCGATCCGATGGGCAGCTCAGCGCACCACGCCTCCGCCGCGGCGAGCGGGGGCAGGTGACGTCGAGCGATCATCCTCGTCCGCGCGGCTGCGGCGCCGGCAGCTGTGAATCAACCGGCGAAGTTCCCCCAGCAGCGCGACCGTCACACCAGGAGCCGCCGCAGCGATCCAACCCCAGGGGCCCCCTTCGGGCTCACTCTTCGAACTCTCAACCACAGGACACACCGGCTACACCACGGGGCACGGCGCCGCAGCCAGCTCGGGGTACGGAGGGCAGCTGTCGAAGTCGGGCGGCAGCCACCCCGGCGGGCACGCGGACTGCAGAGCACAGGGAGGCAACCCCGGCTCCAATGGCGGATGCAGGCCACCTGAGAGCAGCGCGATCAGGTTGGCAAGCCCCAGGCCCACTAGTGCGGGGTGGCCTGGTGGCGCAGTCATCTGAGACTGACAAACAACTTGAGAATGAACGGCAGCAGGGAAGAGAAGCGACTGGACGGTTCCTGCTGTCTCAGTGTGGACAAGGGAAGCCGAGAACATCACCAAGACGGCCCCTCTGCTCAACCCGTTCTAAAACCTCCATGATTTTGGCCTCTTGGGGCCCTCTTGGGACGCCCCTTGGGCGCCTCCTCGGGCGTCTTGGAAGCCTCTTGGGACGTTTTGGGGCTGTCTTGGGCGGTTTTGGGCTCGTCTGGGACGGAAAAGACGAGACATCCGAAAAACATGCAAAAACCCGAAGGAACCCCCAAAACGGCCATTAACATCCATCCGGGCGCGGCACGCCCCCCCCTTATAACCCCCCCTTAAGGGGCTTCGCCCAACACACAACGCCATCGCTCGTACCTCGGCCCGGCACAGAAACCGAAAGAGCGCTTCAGAAATAGAAACCGAAATTACTCACACCACCGTTCGTACCGGGAGCTTTGGCGTTGAGAGCTTGTTACGTCACGCCTCGCTCGTGGGAGCCTTGGTGTTCAGAGATTGTTGCGTTGCCGCCCGTTCCTGAGCCTTGGCTGGGCCTTGGTGTGAGGAACTTGTTACGTCACCGCTCTCTGCTGGGAGCCTTGGTTTTATCAGTTTGTTTACGTCACCGTTCGCTCTTGGGAGGTGAAGAGCTATTTGCGTCACCGATCGCTCTCCATTCCCAACCCTCCTTGGTTGGGTATTCGTTTTGAATAGAGGGGTGTGGTCGCGTCCTCCTCCCGCCCCCCTCCCGCCTCCTCTCGTCTCCTCCTTTCCTCTCTTCGCCGTCCCTGGGGGGCTGCGATCTGCGAAACTGTCGCCACTTTCGAGGGCTGCTGGTGGGCGCTGCGGAGTGAGGCACCGCGCAGATCTGAGCAAGACCTCGCCGTCCCTGGGGGGCTGCGATCTGCGAAACTGTCGCCACTTTCGAGGGCTGCTGGTGGGTCCTGCGGAGTGAGGCACCGCGCGGATCCGAGGTAGACCTCGCCGTCCCTGGGGGGCGGCGATCCGCGAAACAGTCGCCACTTTCGAGGGCTGCTGGTGGGTCCTGCGGAGTGAGGCACCGCGCAGATCTGAGCAAGACCTCGCCGTCCCTGGGGGGCAACGATCTGCGAAACTGTCGCCACTTTCGAGGGCTGCTGGTGGGTCCTGCGGAGCGAGGCACCGCGCGGATCTGAGGTAGACCTCGCCGTCCCTGGGGGGCTGCGATCTGCGAAACTGCCGCCACTTTCGAGGGCTGCTGGTGGGTCCTGCGGAGCGAGGCACCGCGCAGATCTGAGCAAGACCTCGCCGTCCCTGGGGGGCTGCGATCTGCGAAACTGTCGCCACTTTCGAGGGCTGCTGGTGGGTCCTGCGGAGTGAAGCACCGCGCGGATCTGAGGTAGACCTCGCCGCCCCTGGGGGGCTGCGATCTACGAAACTGTCGCCACTTTCGACGGCTGCTGGTGGGTCCTGTGGAGTGAGGCACCGCGCGGATCTGAGGTAGACCTCGCCATGCCTGGGGGGCTGCGATCTGCGAAGCTGCCGCCACTTTCGAGGACTGCTGGTGGGTCCTGCGGCGCGAGGCACCGCGCGGATCTGAGGTAGACCTCGCCGCCCCTGGGGGGCTGCGATCTGTGAAACTGTCGCCACTTTCGAGGGCTGCTGGTGGGTCCTGCGGAGCGAGGCACCGCGCGGATCCGAGGTAGACCTCGCCGTCCCTGGGGGGCGGCGATCCGCGAAACCGTCGCCACTTTCGAGGGCTGCTGGTGGGTCCTGCGGAGTGAGGCACCGCGCAGATCTGAGCGGGACCTCGCCGCCCCTGGGGGGCTGCGATCTGCGAAACTGTCGCCACTTTCGAGGGCTGCCGGTTGGTCCTGCGGAATGAAGCACCGCGCGGATCTGAGGTAGACCTCGCCGTCCCTGGGAGGGCGGCGAGTTGCGAAACTGTCGCCACTTACGAGGGCTGCTGGTGGGTCCTGCGGAGCGAGGCACCGCGCGGATTTGAGCGGGACCTCGCCGTCCCTGGGGGGCTGCGATCTGCGAAACCGTCGCCATTTTCGAAGGCTGCTGGCCGGTCCTGCGGAGTGAGGCACCGCGCGGATCTGAGGTAGACCTCGCCGTCCCTGGGGGGGCTGCGATCTGCGAAGCTGTCGCCACTTTCGAGGGCTGCTGGCGGGTCCTGCGGAGTGAGGCACCGCGCAGATCTGAGCGGGACCTCGCCGTCCCTGAGGGGCTGCGATCTATGAAGCTGTCGCCATTTTCGAGGGCTGCTGGTGGGTCCTGCGGGGTGAGGCACCGCGCGGATCTGAGCGGGACCTCGCCGTGCCTGGGGGGCTGCGATCTGCGAAATTGTCCCCACTTTCGAGGGCTGCTGGTGGGTCCAGCGGAGTGAGGCACCGCGCAGATCGGAGCGGAGCCTCGCCGCCCCTGGGGGGCTGCGATCTGCGAAACCGTCGCAACTTTCGAAGGCTGGTGGCGGGTTCAGCGGAGCGAGGCACCAGGCAGATCTGAGCGAGACATCGCAATCCTCGGGGGGCTGCGAGCCTCACGAATGCCGCTCGCAGAAATATATGCGCCCATGTCACGTCATCACCTCCGTATAACGTCTCCCAAGCTACTCCCAAGCTACTCATGCCCCGCATTGCGCAAGGGTTGGGTACGTCGCCAGTGTAATTTGGCGTCTCTGGGCCTTCTTGGGGATTATATTGCGGCCCTTGTAGAGCCATTTTGGAAGCCTCTTGGGGGCCTCTTGGGGGCCTTTTGGGGGCCTCTTGGGGTTTCTTGGGGGGCTGTGGGGGCCTCCTGGGAGCGTCTTGGGGCGAAAGGCTAGACTTTCGGGTTCGTGGTCCCCCTCTTGGGGCCGTCTCGGGGCCCTCTTGGGCCGCCTTGGGCGCCTCCTGGGCCGTCTTGGCGCCCTCTTGGGCCGTGCGGGGGGCCTCTTGGGAGCCTCTTGGGCCGTCTTGGGGCGGTCTTGGGGGCCTTTTGGGCCGTCGTCAACGCCGTGAAAGTCGCAAAGCAGTGCATGCTAAAAATGCACGTTTTCCCATAGAAAATCTATTATGTTGGCCTCCTGATAGCATCGTGAGACGCCTCTTGGGGGCCTCTTGGGGCTTTTTGGGGGACTCTGGGGGCGTCCTGGGAGCTTCTTGGGCCGAAATGCTAGCCTTTCGGGTTCGTGGTCCCCCTCTTGGGGCCGTCTTGGGGCCCACTTGGGCCGTCTTGGGCGCCTCTTGGGCCGTCTGGGGGCCCTCTTGGGCCGTGTGGGGGGCCTCTTGCGAGCCTCTTGTGCCGTCTTGGGGCGGTCTTGGGGGCCTCTTGGGCCGTCGTCAACGCCGTGAAAGGCGAAAATCCGTAGATGCTAAAAATATACGTTTTCCTCCGGAAGATCTATGATTTTGGCCTCTTGGGGCCCTCGTGGGACGCCCCTTGGGCGCCTCTTGGGGGCCTCCTGGGGGCCTCTTGGGCCGTCTTGGGCGGTCTTGGGCTCTCCTGGAGCGCTCTTGGGCCGTCTGGAGGGGGAACCCGAAAAAACATGCACAAACCCTGAAGGAAAACCCCCAAAACGGCCATTAGAACTCATGTGTACGCGGTACGCCCCCCCTGGAACCTTAAGGGGCTTCGCCCAAAACACAACGTCATCACTCGTACCTCGCTCTTTCCCTTACCTGGCCCGGCACAGAAACGGAAAGAGCGCTTCAGAAACAGAAACCAAAATTACTCACACCACCGTTCGTACTGGGAGCCTTGGGGTTGCTCTTGGGAGCCTTGGTGTTCAGAGATTGTTGCGTTGCCGCCCGTTCCTGATCCTTGGCTGGGCCTTGGTGTGAGGAACTTGTTGCGTCACCGCTCCCTGCTGGGAGCCTTGGTCTTATCAGCTTGTTTACGTCACCGTTCGCTCTTGGGAGCCTTGGTGTGGAGAGCTTTTGGCGTTACCGATCGCTCTTCATTTGGCGTCTCTGGGCCTTCTTGGGAGTCCTATTGCGGCCGTTTTCGAGCCCCTTGGGGGGCCTGTCCTCTTGGGGGCCTCTGGGGGCTTCTTGGGGGGCTCTGGGGGCCTCCTGGGAGCTTCTTGGGGCGAAAAGACTCAACTTTTCGGTTCGTGGTCCCCCTCTTGGGGCCGTCTTGGGGCCCTCTTGGGCCGTCTTGGGCGCCTCTTGGGCCGTCTTGGGGCCCTCTCGGGCCGTTTTGGGAGCCTCTTGGGCGCCTCTTGGGCCCTCTGGGGGCGGTCTTGGGGCCCTCTTGGACCGTCGTCACCGCCGTGAAAACCGAGAAGCCGTGTATGCAAAAAATGTACCTTTTGGCCTCCTGGTGGCCTCTTGGGACGCCTCTCGGGGGCCTCTTGGGGCTTCTTGGGGGGCTTTTGGGGCCTCCTGGGAGCGTCTTGGGGCGAGAGGCTAGACTTTTCGGTTCGTGGTCCCCCTCTTGGGGCCGTCTTGGGGCCCTCTTGGGCAGTCTTGGGCGCCTCTTGGACCGTCTTGGGACCCTCTTGAGCCGTTTGGGGGGGCCTCTTGGGAGCCTCTTGGGCCGTCTTGGGGCGGTCTTGGGGGCCTCTTGGGCCGTCGTCAACGCCGTGAAAGCCGCTCTTGCCGAATATACTAACAATATACGTTGCCCTCGGGAAAATCAATGATTT